AGCGTATACTGCGGAGGTCTTAAAAATGCCTTGAAGGTCTGGATGGGGTTAACCCTTTACATCCTAATATCAGCATACATATTCTCCATAATGTTCTTCATAAATTTCCTAGGTGTTGACAAGGAGAATTTGTATAACAATCCACAGCATCTTTAGTTGGTGATCATTTCCTCAATTCTTGTGGCGTTAATGTTTTACTCAGGGGTGAAATCGTAAGGAGAAATTAGATGCTGGTCACTCTTAGGTGTTACAGGGTTAATTGTTAGCTGTAAAACGGACAAAAAGTTGTGCCGTTAGGCGTTAAAATATTGACGAATTTTAACCGTTAGTCGTAAAAAAGGTTAACAGAAATAATTTTCCTTTCTATTATTTCTCATTTTCTGTCAATTTGGGCTAACTTAAGCCTTATAATGGCTAAACTTTTAATCGTTAGCCGTAAAAGCCATCACCCTCATTGAGACTCTATATCTTTGTAAGGGGTCATCTAGGCCCCAGTCTTTAGACGTGAAGTATCAAGTCACGGTTTCCTATAGATACCACTGTCTTCCTCTTTTTTGATGTTCCCAAAATCGGCTCACAAAACACTGTTATTGCTCTCAGGAATGATATTCAACATTTTGGAGCAGAAGTTCTGGAATTCTTTTACGTTTACTATTTTTCTGTTACTTGACACGCAGCTTGATGGACTGATCGAGTCCAACTTGGATAGTCTGTGACTCAAGCGTTTCATTTAATTGCACATTGAGTATGATTTCAGAAAATTAACCTTCACTTTTACTTTGTGGAAACAGGATGCACTTTAAGTAATAACCTCTCATTTGTGACAACTTTCAGTTTTTGCTGAAAGGGTTTTTGTAAAAAATCAATTTACGAAAAAAGAGACTAGCGTCCGAACTCCGTAGAAAATATGTATTAAACTTGTTCAATGAACCACAACATCTGGCTAAAATAAAAACTCCGAAACTTCTTAAATTTGCAAGCAAAGGGGTAACGAATTTAAGCAAACGGAAGCTCAAAAACAACATGCTAAAAATCCGTGAAAATAAACTAAAAGTACGCGACTAAATGTCCACGTCAGTTTTCCAATGTCAAGGTTAGAGTTCTTTGACGTGATTGGCCAATTTGTGAAATCACGTGCGCCGCGCGTGGATACAAAGAGATACGACGGGGGGAGAGGAAGAGAAAAATTGTTATTTGAAATTGAAAAGCGAAAGAGATTTCTACAGTTTTCCCCGTTACCTAAAAAATTCTTTTTCATGACCATGTTAAGTATCAGCCTGATTTTTCAGAACAAATTATCCAAAAACTCCGTGAGTCAAGCTAAAAAAGAGCATTTCGATTTCGCCCGCTAACCTTACGCGCGCAGAACTTGAGATCGAAATGCAAAATTATCTACATTTGTGACGTAACAAACTTCATTACTAGTTACAATTGTAAGGTAGATAATTTAAGATGATAGATTGTGACACAGTCTCGAGCAGAAACTGCCATGTGTGAAACAGAGAGCATAAATAGGTCAACATGAAAATTAATTATTCAATTTTAGTTCTTTGCCTTTTGGGATGTTATGTGAAATTGCAATCAGTTGCAGCTGTTGACTCCTCACTAGAAATAGAAGGTATGACAGTTATCTGTTGCAAAACTCCAAGAAAAATGCGTTAACTAAACTTTCATTCCGTTCCTTTCTTAGTTAAATGATCATACAGTACATGAATGTGTATTTAACGTTTTAATAGCGAAGAGTGGTCGGAACTCTGTTCACGAACAAGAGACAATGGTTACAGTTGAATTAGAAGATTCCCCAAAGATAAATGGTGTCAGGAATAGATCTAAACGAAACTTCGTCGCGTTCAAACGCCATCGGTGGTACTCGAAAACAATCCCATACATCTTGGACAAATCTTTAGGTAAGGATCATATCTAAGAATCAGATTTGTTGATAAGAACAAAAAGAATGTTCAGTCAGAAATATTAGGCTTATGCTAAGTAACTTTTGAAAACACATTTGAACATGAGGTAACGTAGAAACTTTCATTCTGCCTTCGCCTGGGTTCCAAGCTGATCAATCTTACCAAAAACGTATGACTGGTAGGTTACAAACCAAATGAGTGAGTCTCAGAAGGCCACAGTCGGCCTACACATGCATCGAGTTAATTTATCTTTCAAACATTGTTTAAGAAATTAATGTAACAACTTCAAAATGTTCTGCAAAATACTTTAATTTGTAAATTATTTGAATACTAAGCTCAACCATACCATGAAGGGTAAAAAATCTCGCTTTGTTTTAGGATCATCAGGGAAACAAGCCTTCAGAGAAGCCGTCAAGGAGTTTCGGGGAAAGACTTGTCTCAGATTCACTCCCTACACAAATGAGAAAGATTACCTTTGGGTTTATCGAGGATCAGGGTGAGTTAAAGGATGTAAAAAGTTCATTTACGAAAAAAGAGGCTAAAGTCTAAACTCCGTAGAAAATATGTATTAAACTTGTTAAGTAAACCACAACATTTAGCTAAAATAAAAACTTTACTTCATAAACTTGCCAGCAAAGGGGTAACGAACGAACGAAAGCTCAAAAACAATTGACTAAAACTCCGCGAAAACAAACAAAAGTATGTCCACGTCAGTTTTTCAATGTCAAGGTTAGAGTTCTTTGACATGATTGGTTAATTTGTGAGATCACGCGCACCGCGCGTGAATAAAAAACGAACACAAAGGGGGGAGGGGGAGAGAAAAATTATTACTTGAAATTTAAAAACGAAAGAGATTTTCTATAAAGGGAACGAATGGGGTAACGCCACTCATTATTCCGTGAGGATTGATTAATAACACATACGATCTCACTACCTTGTGGAAGGTCCACCCAAAGACGCCAACCTTATAGAGCACACTAACTGTCGAAAACGCACCAGCACACGTTTCCTACTGATCACCTTTTTAATAATCTAGAAAAACAAATCTCTGCAATCACATCTGCCGGTCAACTAACGGGCTGAACATATAAAACGACACTTTTTTCTAACAAAGAAAGATCCTAATCACGAGTTTCTGGTTGCTTATTCAAGTGTTTCTGGTCTCTTAATGCAACGCAACAACAACGAAATGATTGTCTACAGTTTTCGAAACCAATTATAAATTTTTGGTTGAAGCATACTAATGTAAATTTGGCAAAAAATTGAATTGAGGCGATTTTTTAATATCAATCATTTTAAAGCAGTTTGTGGTAACGTTAATTAACATTTTATCTATGATCTCCATGACAAGATGGTTCATCACTGCCAATTGACCCCTTCTCGCCAATAAGAAGGAAGGTGTTCTTCATCTGACTTAGCTATTACGATATTATTTAGACTAGTAGTAATCGGAGATTAAGGAAATGCGTTCGGCATTTCAAAGGGGAAATATTGTTTTTTGGTTATTGGAATAGATGAATATGCCTATGGTATGTTGTCAAATAAAGGGTGAACAACCACGTCCTCGAACGTCCGACAAACTGCAATGCACGAGGCAGCATCCTTTGCGCAACGAAATTGTGACGTCATTCAAAATGGCGCTGAAAAGATGAACGGCCGGCCGATCGAACGAAAAAACACGGGTCAGCTTTCGCTTGCGTGCACAGGACACCTACGCGATCACAGGTAGCCCAGGAGATTAGGAAGCGTTCTTCCTTCGTCGAACGCAACTATTGTATCAGGAATATTTCTCTCGATTGTTTCTCTCTCCCACGGCGAAAATGGGTGAATTGCACCCTCCATCTGTAGTCGCAGAGATTGGCGATAGCACTGCCATTACCTTTAGTGTTTTGAAAATATCTATCTATGATATAGATGCTCCTCCGTTACTGGGAGATCTGGCGGCAACCAAACTATGTCTCTTGGAGAGGGTTGCCATAGAAAGGGTGTTGTCATCCACGAGCTGCTGCATGCACTGGGTATGACGCACGAACATTGCAGAGCCGACAGAAACGAGTTCATCAGGATCAACATGGAAAATATCAAGAAAGGTAAGTATCCTTGATCCAATGAAGCTATCGTCTTCTCTACGTGAAAGACCGAGTCAGAGTACTGAGATTGCAGTAGAAGAGGCGCTTTTGTCCCCTTTACTTACGTTGTATACCAGAGATCAGTCAAACCTTTTTAAGGGGAGTATTTAAAGTTCTTCTCCGTTGAACCTGTTTCTGTTGAGTCGATATCTGGATTTAACTGGATTTTAACAGGATGTGGCTTTTCTTATTTTGACGTGACAAGCCCTTTTGCTTGTACACGTCAGTATTTATTCAGAGAGCGATTAATGCTGCCACAATAGTGGTCATATAATGATGATTTCATTTTTACTTTAGCTCAGGTTGAGTGTATCGAATTCAAATTAAATCTGTTATAGATCTGACGCCTTACTAAGGCTACTAAATCTGGTTAGGGGCCCATGACAACAATGAGAAATAATCAGGCAGTTGTCTAAAAGAAATATTTCACCACATAATAACAAAGTCTTGCCCATACGCTGTTATGATTTTCCTTTAGATGCCAGGATTGAGTACCGGGTATGGAGAGGTTTCGTTACTAAAGAGCCTTACGACTATGGATCCATAATGCACTATGGGTTCAACTTCTTCAGCATCGATCCCAAGAAACCAACCATTGTCAAGTTAATGCCTGGTGGTGAGCAGATGGGCCAAAGAAAAGGATTCTCAGATCTTGATTTGAGAAAAATCAACAGGTTCTACAATTGTTTGAATTACATTCGTAAGTATATTTTTGACAAATAAACGGATTATATGGCAGAGTTCCTTGAATAAATGTCTGAAAGTTGTCTATTTTTGCTTTTTTTGTTTTGTTTCGTTTTCTTATTCAATTATTTTTCCAGAATCAATTCCAGCGCCCGAAAAGGAAGTTTTCAAGATAGTGTCAGGTAAGGGGTTTCAGGGAAACAATCACAACACGAATTTATTTCAATGCCATCTCGTTAGATAAAAAACACCACCACCCGGCAAAATCTAGCCAGCAAGTAGCAATCAAGCCAATTTCGGGCTGGAATGTTTTTTATTACTCCTGGTCTTACTGGTCTCTGAGGATAAGCTCCGGCAGTTATGGATAACTTGGTTCCGAAGACATGACCTTTCTGCATAAGGCATTACCCTCCTATATACCGGACGCCGGGTTTAACTATCAATACTTCATAAATTTTGGCACATTTGCGCAAACTTTCTATTTCCCTTGCCTCTTGCTAAAAGTAGGCTAATTTTCCTCAATTCTTAGCTTGCTGGCTCGTGAAGGTTTTGAGAGGCAAAAATGAGTTACGAATTCTCGTGAGGAATGGAGAGGGAAAACTTAAGAAAGATTCCCCACTCGCAGTTTCACGTTTTTGCTTCAACTTCGTCGCCTTCTCAAAACCACCTATAGAACCACGTGTTAGCTGGGTCTTTTTCAATGTTTCTCTTTACACCGATCCTTTTAACTTTACATGTAGGAGACTGTGACTTTGAGCGAGGATTTTGTAATTGGGAAAACTGGATCAACAAAGAACAAGATCAATTTGATTGGAAGATAGGGACAGCTGTGATCAAAACTTGTCCCGTGATAAACCTGCAACACCCTTATAATCCGTTCATTACTGGTAAGATTATTCGCACAGCTTGCCTTTGATCTTGATGCATGTATCTTTATGTCAAAAATAACAAAAACTGACATATCGAATTAGCGTGTCAATGATGTTACCACGTCCGATCACAATTTTTTTTATTTTTTGTAGTGGGAAAGACCATATTTGCCTTGATCACACATTTGAATTAGAATGCTGCGCATGGCACCTGATAATTATATCCCATACGTATAGGCTACACTTCCACCAATAAAGTCGTGATTGTGCTAAACATTATGTAGTTTTTATTGATAAACAAGCATCCCCGACTAGGTTTGGTCAGAAGTGATCATACCGATTACATCACCTAAGGCGTAGTTTTCACCCGAGTTTATTCCACTGTTGCAAGTAACGAATGACGAAAAGTAAACGAAAGCCTTCCTCTGTGGCTGTCGCGTTTGTGTTTTGGATAAAGGGGGACAAGTTTCTAAAGAAACTATGGTGCTGCGTCAGTGAGGGATGTTACTAATAACTTTGGTTTTATCAACTGGGTTGATGGAGAGTTTCTAGAACTGACTTTTAGAGCTAAGAGGGATTTAAACTTCGTGTTTAGACCATCGATCACTTCGTTTTTAAACAAGTTAATTCTCTTTCAAGGAAGTTTCATCTTCTTCGATAAACCGCTACGCAAACCCGTAGAGTACATGAGCAGCAGCGTGCTTTCTAGTGAAGGATTCTTCACAGGACTGAACTGCCTAAGTTTCCACTATTGCATGCAGTCAGGTGGATATCTGCGAGTGTTTATAAAGGAGGCCGAGTCAAAAGAGAAGAACCCGTATGTTTTGATCTGGGAAGAGATGGGTCTGCAAGGAAACAGACTGGACAAGATGGAGAAAACGATTTCAGGCAATATGATCAAGGTTGAATTCTTTTTCTTTTAAAACATTTTACTTTATTACTTTACTTCCTAAAGCCTGGTTCTGATTCTTCGTCGCAAAATGTAACCAAATGAAGATATAACTGCGAGCTTTTCAGGAGCGCTCTTGTAAAAAGGTAGTGCATGACTTAAATTAGCATCTTGACAATCATCTCTGAACTTTCTCTTTTTGAGAGGATGTTTAGGCTTTTTTATGAAAAATAAACCTCATGAATATACAAAGCTATAACAGCTATGCTACGGTTAAATAAGCTTGGTTAAATAAGCTTGGTCTTTGATGATAGAAAGGAAACATGAAAAACCTGAGGTCCTCTAAGAGGACTCAAGCATTTGAAAGAGCGATGAATGAATCCTAAAGGGCTCAGACAAAATACTTATCTTAGTGACGTGTTTGTCGCTCAGCTTCTTTTATATTTTTATAGATTTATATCGAAGGAATAAAAAGCCCTAGTCAAGATGGATTTGTCGCCGTTGATGACATTAGCGTCAATCAGGGAAAGGCTTGTGTTGGTAAGTGCTTTCTAAAGAAGCTGAGACAACATACCCAATCTATCAAATAATTTAGCACCTTGGCTTAGTTGTATTGGGGGATGCTTCAAAAACAAAACAAATAAAAAACAGAAGAAATGAACCAGGGAAACAAACAAACAAAACGATTTATCGAATAGAGAAGCGATCCTCGCAGTTATGGACACTACTGAACTAGTAGTGAAAATAAGGCCTGAAAAAACGGCATTTGAACCCATGCCCTCTGCGATACCGGTTCAGATTGAGAGCATGCAAAACGACTTATATTTATAGAGTTAGGTAGGTGATTGTAAGTCTATCGGGAAGCTCAGCTTGCAACGTTTAAGTGGCAAACGATATAGTTTAAGTATCTTGTTCATTTTCCTTACTTAGGATGATATCTCCCGTTGGAAACAGGTCACACGGTCCTCAGGGCTGCGAATGTTACAAGTCGTCCACGTTTAAAAACGAAAGATCAATTTGAGCGGAAATTTCAGTCCACAGTAGATCAAGGAAACGATGGAAAAGAGTCAGAACCTATGAATTTTCCATAATCTTTCTCTCGTGTTCTTTTTAGGGTAATCTCGATCCGGCCTTTCTGGGTAATTCTTTCGAAAGACTGAATAGCATCGAGGTACTAATCTGCAGATGGGCTGACTGATATAGATGTGGCTTTATGAAGCGTTAGTGGTGCTTTGAAAGTGATGACATTTCATATCTATTTCATCTTTTAAAAATGAATTTCTCGTCCATTATAGGAAGGTTAAGCCGCTGGAAAAATCCATCGAGCCATCTCCGTTTTTTACGATGGTACACGGCTGGGGAAAAAAGCATGTAGCTAAAGCATGCAAACGAACAAAAAAAACAAAACTGAGAGAACGACGTTAACCTTTTTTTTTTTTTTTGAGAAAAAATGTTGAGTATGTTTATTAATTCCATATAATCAAAGCTCCGTAGTTTCATAATCAATGAATTGCGTTTAGTCTGGTTATTTTATATCTGTCATAAACATCAAGACCGTAGTTAAGCATGTGTTACCAAAGAGAACGAATGTAAGGAGAGATCGCGGACAGGTACAAAAATTACCAACGGAAAGACACCGTTCCCAGCAGGGTCTAATTTCAAAACTCTCCCTTTTGCGAATTCTTGCTACTTTGCCTCAGAGGAGAAATCTATCATAATCGTCACTTCCGTGATGTTTGCTAATTATTGTTTACCCAACTCCACCTGACTGAAATAAGAATAATATACATTTATCGTTCCTCAAAAATGTTCACATTTGATTAAAGATGTTTCTTATTTTCAGAAAAGTCACAAAGTTACTCATAGGATATTCCAGCACACGAGTTCGTTTCATTTCCTGACCATATTTCCGTTGCATCATGGCCTTCCAAAACAAGCATTAGAGACACTGTATCTCTCTACACATGATAAAAAATAGTCTGGTACGACATTTCTTCAAGTACTTTCAGGGGTGCACCTCTACCCTAAGCACCAGTCTTTCAAATTATCCAATGGCTACAGAACGACGTATATCTCGGAAGTGAACAGCCTCCTGTCGAAACTGATTCAATCTAAAATATATATTGTACATCTTTCATCGTGTTGTTTTTTTAAGCACACATTACAAATTGCCCATCATGTGATTTGAGTTATTTTTCAAAAGAATGCCATAAAACCAACTGCAAATGTGCTTTACAAACTCGTGATGATACAAGCATCACCGAAAAACATTCTTAACCCAATTTGCTACTATCACAGAAGCTGAGCATAATGTTGAAACACACTGATGTCTGGCTGTTCTTAAGACAAGGGAAACAAGCGAGGTTTGCAATTTTGTGCACCTAAGATAACACCTAATCTTAGAAGGACGGCGACATAAAGTCTTTATGTCAAAAAAAATAATAATAATAAGAAAAAATTAATAACCGTGAACTAAATGACTGACAAAACTCATTCATGCTGCTAATAAAATTAGGACATGAAAAGTAAGAGTTTTAAAAATGCTTCGTAAACAAGACTTTTCAAAATTAACAAAGCTGCAATTGATTTGCCTCAAATGACAGGTGGACCCTTTTTGTTCCGTCTTCCTTTCTTTTCCTATTGTTTTTCATTTCATTTCATTTCATTTCATTCTTTATGTTTTAAGCTCCGGGTGCGGTAAGCTACTTTATCCTTCCAAGTAAACTGAGCTGTCCACCTGTCTTTTTTCTTCCTTTCATAAGCTGCTGTCGATGAAATTGGATGTCTTGATTCCTAAATGCATTCGTGTTTGCTCGATTTCTCCATCAAAATGGTTTCATGTCCCTTGAATACCTGAGTAGCCTAAACACTTGTTTATCATGCAGGCCTTTACCTGAGTGACATACGTCTTTCATATGATCTACTTTCCTGATAGAAAGATAAACACCGGGGGATTTCAGAGAAGCATCTTTAAAAGTTGTACGATTTAGATCATGCAAAAGAGATCTTGCTGATAGCAAGAACCTTTCAACCAGATCGTACATCTTTTTTCTTAACTCATGGCAGATCTGTTACAACTGTGTTAACAAAGATATATTACACAGGGATAACACTAAATTTACGCAGGCTTCACGTTATAAAGTATGGCTTGCTTAACAATCATATTTGATATGAATACGTTATATTATAATATGAAAAAAAGTGATCTGTATACTCTTAAATTTTGTCAATAACTTGATATTTGATATCCATTTTTACTACCAAACACTAACCTTCTGTTAGCCACCTTGGTTCTAGAGAGCCTGCATTTACTTCTTATGGAGCTTTCTTCGTCATGTTAAATATAATTCGATATTTACATGCATTTTCTGTCTTTACGTTCAACTGCATGCGCTTACCAAACAGCTCTTAGGGCATCTGCCCCTCCTAACTCTCAGCAATAATTTTAAGACCGGCCAATGCTATATTTATGAATTTCGTTTTACATTTCATGAAATGATCCGTTGAAAAGATATGTGAATATCGGAACAATTTACGCAGGGTTTTCCAAAATGTAAAATTAATCAAGAAAACTATCCGAGTTTTATGTTTTACTTAAGCGAGTAATCCGATTTTCATTTTCAACGTTTGCTTTACATTTAGCCCATTTCAGGTGGCGTACATCAGCCCTGCACGATGTTGTTTAGCAAAAAAGAAAAAACTCGCACTTATTCATCTGTCAATCTTCAAATTTGCCTCCATCCACCGAGTATACTCGTTCACATTCGTGTAAACACCATATTTGTACGGCAACGCACACCTCTCTCCCCAGCTCACTATGCCTGCAAGCATCCAGGTGCCGTCCCCGCTCGGATCTGGACAGGCCAGCGGTCCCCCGCTATCGTAAGAGCATTTGTCAGTGCCACCTTCCTTGAATCCGGCACACAGGAAGTTTCCTCCCACTGCTCCGTTGTACGAACTAGAAACACAAGAAACAGCTATCATAAGCTTCTACATTGGTCATTTACTACTTAAAGTTTGACATGCTTTTTCGACCATTACTAACCGGGGAGAATTGCAGCCTTCTTTTCCCACCAAATCAACCCACGCCTCTCTCAGCACCGGCGAGGAACTTCCTTGCCAATAAGTGTGTCCCCAACCAGTAACAATGCAGCGTTTACCCGCTTGGAAGTAGTTGAAACTCTCTGGCAGGCAGATCTTACTAACATGGCTGCCGAACTTCAGTGAACCAGCCATACGCACTAGCGCTGGAGAAAAGCACATAATAACCAGATATAACCCAATCCCTCTTCTATATATGACCAATTCACACTTAACATGTTTGTTTGTTTGTTTGTTTTTCCAAAGAAAATAGAAGACAACCAAAGCGCTCAAATTATCATGGTCATAAAACACCGACAGAGTTTTTAACTTCTGGATGACACCGTCTTAAGCAACTTCCTCGTGAGAAACAGCAATGGATTGGTTGCATTGTTTTTGTGCTATTCCCTTACTCGAGTTTGCAGCAACAGAAAATATCATTTAGCAAAAAAGAAATAACCCATCTTCTAATCAAATAAATCTTCACACAACGTAATATGGATGAAACATAACGTGAATCAAAATTTCAACTACTGACGATTCCCTCTTACGGGCTTACTCATTTTCAGGAATGTAAGGTAGACATAAAATAAATGACCTGACAAACGAAAGAAACAGTAGTATATCCACGAGTTCACCGCAGTGTGATTTGATCAGGTCTATTCGTGCCTTAAGTACAGTAAGTACTTTAGTAAGATCCGTCCCTTAGTAAGAAAAAGAGACCCCGTAGCCTTACCGATATCGTTGTCACCGGGGTGGGAGGAATTACTTGGCTTATAGTTTGGGTGAATTAGTATTTGTTTGACGTCAAGCTTTTGTTCTTTCCCTTCCTCTCTGTGAAGTGAATGTTCACCAATGTGCACCTCCCAGTCTGAGGGTTTCTTTGATGTTTGTTCATCTAAGATTCAAACCACATAAGTTCTTGGTAAGTGCACATAAAATGGACTGATGAACTGATAGCCTGTGAGCATTTTGCATCCATTTTTTTTTTGGTCCAGTTTTATCGGCCTCAACATAATAAAAAGCATAATTTAGATTAACCCGTACTAAATTACAGTGGTTTACAATTGCAACAGGTTCCCCTATTCCCGTGCACATTCCCTCATTTCAGAAACTTGAAACTCAGTTTTTGTAAGAAACCTCTCTTTGACTAACTTAAATACCTTTTCTCGCATTACGTTCGTTTTTCTTTTCTAAAGCGGTGGGAGGGGAAGGAAATGCTCTTAAGCTCTTATTCCTTGTAAAATGTACCACATAAACAATAATAGCAAAACTCACTGAAACATTGAGTGTTGTAAGGACCACTTTTGTAGTCATTGTAGGCCGTTATACTGAATATAGTTGATGTTCTTTAGTGTAAGTTTACTCGGATCTTAGGAATACCTGTAACTATTACACGAGTTTATGCGGATATAGATATTTGTACTAATGACAATGGGGATGAGTTAGAATTTTTCAACTTACTAAAGCAATGTGCAGCGGTCACGACCCAAGATGGTTTTATGATGGTTGCTCCGCAGGTAAGCTTGGTGCGATTAAAGAACAGAGCAGACATCCACGGCCAGGAGTTAGGAACGCTTTCTTGTCCTCCCACAATCCTTCGGGAGCGAGGATTGTACAAACCCCAACGTTTTCCACAATCGCGAGTAACTGAAAAGAGTCGAAATGTTTCTCAAGGTAAAACTTAAGAAGACGTTCTGATTTATTCCCAGTTGCAAAGGAGCTCTGCTACAGAGTTTAGGGTGAAGTGAAATTGTTTGTTAAATGCCAAGAAACAATTTCAAAGCTGTTTCTTTCAAGTCTTCGTTTCTCATTTTTCTCAGTAAAGTACGAGGGAGACATCGAGAATCACGGAAATCGGCAGACCTTTTCTACCTCGCATGCTTAATGCCCTAAAGATCTTCAAAACAAAGTAGCGAAGCCACCACTTTTAAGAAAAAGTCAAAATAGCCTTTCTCCCAACGGAGAGATTAAAGAGGAGCAGGAAATTCTGTGTTCATACAGACGGCGAGGAAGAAACCGGAAGAGGTCTCTCCTAGGGCGAAGTTAGGGCCAAACACGGGACAGGGTGCGGCAGTGGCAAGTATGATTGTTGCCTAGTGTACCAACCCAGAGCGAAAGTTGAACAAAAAAAAAATCTGCAAAATAGAGCAAATTATCCTGATTTCAGACAGAAGACCGGTTATCTAACCTGTTGAAGTTCTACACTTCGGTTTTCCTCCTCCTCTGATCCTGGTCCCTTGAATCTGTTTTCCTTGCCGGTCCACGCACCAACAGGCTTTTGTTTTCCTGTTACATTGCAGAACTCTAAAGTGGCCGTTTGATTTGCACTTTGGCACGAATACTCCAGGGTTGTTCTTTCTTTTCCTCAACCTGCGTTCACGCATTCGATGGCAGCGGGTTTTTTCCTTTTTGGAGGGATTTTCGTCTGTAGAAAGAGGTTTTTAAAACATGTCAGCCTGTATTACGGAAATCGAAATAACATTTTTGGATTTCATACTATAATAATGGTGGAGATGTGAACGTTGCTGCGATACTACAAGACCAGCAATGGGATACCACATTCATAATTAAGTCACTAATCAGGATCTATGAGGCAATGTTCTTTTAGGAACAAGCGTGCCTTTCGTGAAGAAAATCCACGTGCTAATTCTATGCCGTGTAGTAAATTATAATGTGGAGGTTCACCGTGAAAAGAGACGTTGGAATCACCAATTCTACTCCTTCCCATCTTGGTGAAATTCGTTTTTGCCCCAGGAAAGTTATTAATAGTAAATGAGAAATCAAAACTAAAAACATCATCGAAAAAGTATGAATAAATTACCCATTTCGTCCTCTTCCAGGTTTGGGTATTGCCGGACGTTTCTGGGTTTTCTTTTCCACGCCTGAGGTTGATGACGTTCAGAGTTAGAGGAAAACTTAATGGTGACATCGGTTTCTTGAAACTTTTCTCCTTGTGCATTAACTCTCCAGCATTTCAGTGGCGTTGTAGTTGTGCACTGGATTTCCCTGAAGCTTCCGTCCGGATTGCACGCTGGCGAAAAGCCACGTCTCATCAGCGCTGCCTCGATTTTTTGTAACTGACATGTCGTGTAGTTCACTACGAGAAGAAATAACTTATATATCATGTTTCATAGTGAATGATCCAAAGCCATAATGTATTACCAACAGCAATTGTGAAGGAAGATTGCCGCTTCACTGCTTACTTTAGCAAAGAATACTCAGCAAAGGCCGTTTTCACAAAAATTATGTAAAATTGGAGTTGCGCCCAAAAACTATAAAATTTTCTGAAATACTTTCTTTTTCAGTTCATTTTCGCGATTAATAAAAACCGCTCTGGATAATTCTCCTAGTTCAGAAACTGACATGCCTCTTTTAGGAAAAAAGGATTTGTCAAGGAAAAGTTTGCCATATATTTTTCACCTGATAAAGTCAAAACATTTTAGGAGCAAATCGTTAAAAGTGTTGGAGAAGTTATGGGTTCGCCGATTTGTTGTCGTTTCAAATCTTCGCGCGTTTAGAATCATACAAAGAATATTTCATCACCAGCTTTTTTTTTTTCTTTCCAATTTTCGAAAGGACTTCCCACCAATTCTCGCTCACTCGCTCGCTTTTTCTCATCGCTCTCGATTGACCGAGGACCCGGCAGAGACTCATAACACAGGTATACATTAGTCCTTACCACAAGTTTGCCGGCAGCCGGTTTTACAACAGTATTGCCATCTTTCACACTGAGCATTCAGTAAACAGTCGATTTTACATCTTCCTGCTGACGGATGAACTGAATTTGGACAGTGGTCTGGGAAATGAGAAGAAGGACTTTCATTCTCTTTTATTAGGAAAAGTTAGTTGGGCTGTTGCAATGGCCACGTTGAACCTCTCCTCTGAGGGAATTAAGTTCGTCCCCAGGACGCCATAGAAAGACTCAACGTGACGCTTACCGCAGGCAACCTAAGCTAAAATGTTAGTGTAAAGCTATAGCTTGAACCTGGGGTGCCTGTATTCACATTCTGTACAAAGAGAACTTCCAGTACCGATCCACATAATCAAAATTTTATATTAAAATAACTGCAAATATTAACATTTGAAGAAAATGACGTGACCAGTGACAACATTGTGACGGCAATCTTTTTTACATCAGTTCTACACGAAAGTGTCTTCTTGCCCAAACGAGAAAAAAAACTATGAACAGATTTGGAGTAATATCTATCATCAAGATAACAAACAAAAGAATGGTTGGAGTGATTCGGTCGTCAGTGCACAAGCTTTGCTTTTCTTTTTGCGTAACAGGTATTCGCTAATACAAACAAGTACTTTAGCCTTCGTGTAATTTACGTCAGGAGTGGTCAATTAAGCTCCTTTAAACATTTATGCCGGTTGTTCGCTCGTAATACGGTCATCAGATAATGTCATTCACATTTAAATTACTTTAGTAGCTCTAGACATCTACACGCAATTGTTTGAAACTAAAATTCGTACAGCCTTCGATACTTAGAGGTCTGATAAACATATCGTTGAAAATGTTAACCATGAAAGAAGTCAAAAAACAGGCTTAAAATGTGCTTTTTCACCCAATGGTTTGTCTATATATGCCTGGCTGGTTTCACAATTTGTATCAACAGACATGGATCTTGAAGTCAATCCTTAATGATCGTTATTCATCTGACGTCATCCTCTTTCGTAAGGACACTGCAATTATATACAAACTATCATAACCACTGAGCCTTACTGAAGCTCTCAAAGCAGAACAATTGAAAAGGCGTCAAATTGACGTTACTTCAAGTGAGAAAAGTCATTTCAGACGCTTAAACATCGAAGAACACTGCAAAAGGAATTTTCTTTCACAAAAAGGGAATGCAATGCTTTATTTCATCCACAAAAACGCTTATGAGTACTTAAATGACAACAGTAACCGCTATTACAATATCGTTAAAGCCATGCCTTCTCATTTGTCTTTGATCACGAAATTCTACTAATCAGCCCACCACACATATGGATTAAGAAAAAACAATATATAATTATATCAAACGTCGCTTTAATATAGTAATTTATAGTCTGTCATTAGTTTCGGCGGCAAAATCAATCTTCAATACAGAACAAAAATCGTTCCTAAAGCTATTTTAAGAAAACAATAACGTTTCAGTAAAAATTTTTCAATGACCTATATTATCTTCCAGAAAAACAAATGCAAACGACCTATGAACTTCCGACGGAAGTCTTTTCTCAAAATTTTACCTCAGGAAAACAAAAATGTCTTTGATATATAAAAAAAAAAAAGGATAAAAAGTCCCGCTCAAAAACCATTTTAGAAAACTGACATCAAGTGCACTTAACGGAAAGCTATGTCAAAACAACTGAATGCTTTTAACGGGTAACAACCTATTTCCTGCGGGCTTAAACGACGTCAGAAGTAGTGTAAAGCTTGAACAGCGTATACGAAGGTGGCACGCGTTTTCATAGAAACTACTATACGAATGTGTAATTAGCATGTGTTTCGTAGCCTAATTGTATTGATAATTTAGCTCGATTTTTTTTCATGCGTAGGAGCTCGTTATAAGAAGCTATATTTCCGATCAACAAACAAGTGATCATTTTGATTCAAAAACATCTCACAAATGACCGGTATTTCGGTGTAAAAGTGGTAAATGCCTTGTCATTATGAACTACAGTCTTGAAATAAAATGGGCACTCACAAATTGACAATAACGAAACCAGACACTTAATAAAGTATCAAAAACCACTTCCATCAAATATACTGGCGCAGGAGTCTCTGTTAAGGCTTGATGATGAGAGGATGGTTCAAATATCTACTGTGGCACACGTAATTACAGCTACTAAACAGAAAAATGTGATGCGGTAAATAAAAAAATTTACTACAAACACGGAATTTGGATCAACACCGGCTTGATGTTAAATGGTTTCTCCGTGCGACAGTAAAAACCAATTTTGATGGTATCGAGAATTTCAGTCATATCTACATTACCGTTTCTAGACAAAAAACGTATAGAGGAGATACTAAACAAGGAGAAAGCGATTTTCATGTGGGATTTTTAAAAAAGAACTTCAATCATACGAGAAAACCAAAAATGGCGATTCGCGTCTGCTACAATTTTCTTTTTCTGTTTCAGCAGATTTGAATGAAGATTTATATAAATCGTTGCGAGTCTCCACCCGCTTGAGAATACGATGATGGGCTAGAGAAAGTCGTATTGATTATGTCAGTCGATATTTGTCTTTTTCTTTAATTAAACGACTTTGAATTAATTGAATTCTATAAATTCCCTTGATTGATCCTAAAAAGTGCACAACTGATCAGTTTGACCGACTCAGCACTCGTTCATTTTTTTCTGGCGTGCCGGCTGTCAGGTATACCAGCTCAAACAGGCTTTAATACTGTTTGCACACAGACAATGGATATGAACCTTACCTCGTCATTACCTCAAACACACGTTATTCACTTAAAGATGAAGTTTGAACTTTGGAAATAAAACTGCAAATAGTTTTAAAATTTCTCTATCTGCTCTCACATTTCCTAAGTCCAAGTGACCTTTCTCTTGTTCTCTCTCTAAGGCTGTGTTCTCTTACACAGCGCTAATCTTTTGTTAGTACCATTTGCTATTCGCTAATAGTTATCTCAAGTAGTTCTTCTCAAGACTAAAATTTCCAAAGACATTCCTAAGACTACAAAAGGCACATCATTAGTGCTGCAGGTTTGGAATTCTTGTCACGACTAATTCTTGTCCGCCCAAAGTGTGGACACTTGGACCAAGTAGTGGTATACATATTTCGTGCATTCCTACCAACGAGCAAAATAATAGTATATGCCATGCCACGAAGATATACAAGTGAAAACGTTTACTTATTTGAACATTATTCTTGGATAACTTTCCCCGTAAATGTGGCGCAAATGAAATAACCAAAACGTTAATACGCTGGGAATGAAAATAAAATACAGTTGGCTGAAGAAGAGAAGGCAACTCGCAAATATCGACGTTTGAAAGCTAAAACGAGCGGGAAAGAACGTCAGAAAAAATTCGTCAGAAAAAATTCGTCAGAAAAAAACGAAATTCGAAACCTATTTGATCGTTAATTATCGGAGCCATCAATAAACGACGAAACAGAGACCACTTAGAAATATTTATAGCTGCTCTTTCATTTAATTTACGCAAAAACACCGCACAATAAAGTATTTACACAGCATGGCATCTAATATAATTTCCTGATGAGCCGACTAGCCACGTTAATATTGAACAGAACTTGATTGAGTCGTTAGGTGTAATCAATATGTTTCGAAATATCCTGCAATTATTAACAAGTTTTTGTTTATAAGCAATTCCCGTTGCTACAAATTAATATCATATCGGGCTACATCATTTCTGTTTTGAGCCGCGATGAATAATCATTTTAAGCACTTTGGTGAATAGTACTTTTTTTTTTCTTTTTTTCCACCATTTATTGGCACAACGGAATTCAGTATAAAATTCACCCTCCCAATAAATATAAGCGTCAGATTTTAAACTCAAGTTCCAAAACAAATGTTTCTATCTGATGTTCTTGCCATTTTTTTTATACCGAACTTGAACTTGGAAGCAATTAACTTCAGTCAGACATGTGTTTTTATTTCTACGTCAATGGCCTTTCATTTCTTGCTACTAATTCTAATTGTGGGAAACCAAGGCGTCCCTGCCCTTTGTCCAGTGAAATACTATAATCAAGAGCTAGTTTTACCCGCATAAACCATAATAGTGGTACGTTTCAAATACTATAATCAAGAGCTAGTTTTACCCGCGTAAACCATAATAGTGGTGCATTTCAAATTTCAAAGTGATTAATTCCTCCAGTTGAAATTTTAAAGTTTGTCGAAAACGAAATAAAGAAAACACAAGTTTGGGCCGACAAAATTTTATCCAACGGCTGAACACTGTCAGTTTTGGAAATACATGCAGTTTAGCTTGTTAAATATTGGTATTTTCGGCTGCTAGCAGAAAGAGCAAAATAAATTATTTTAGCAATTTGCGACACCATTTTTAACCTTCATAAAGATGCTCTTTGAAAGTAATGTTAACTAAAAATTTTCATACAGCTTTCAAACAAGACAACCCAATATTTTGGTACAACAAAGACACCTTTCAAGTTGTTTTGTAGAACGTAACTTTTATTTGTTACTTGTCACTTAATTGTTGTTTGTCTCGTCGCCAACCGGGATTTTAAAATTCTACTCACGTGCGCGAAGTAATTAGTTTCAGGCCATTACACTTTGGGCTGTCTGAGTCATAAGCTGCACGCGAAGGCATGGCGGGCACAAAATCTACTGCATGATTTATACTGAATATATTGGAAGCAATGTCTTGAATTTTCTGCCAAATAGTTGCAAAATAAAGGGATGAAACTGTAATGATCACGCATTAGAGGTGTTAATTGGCTCATCGTGTAGAGAGCTCATGGCCATTTCCATTGACCGACTACCGTTTAATTTAGGTCGTTAGATCCTCAAATTGTGCCTTTCCTGAGGAAACTATAACAAAAAGTGCCCTGACCTGTTAAAGAGCACTTTCAATTTGACATGCAGCGATTAATTTTAAGAATAATTACTTGAGCAACGGAACACTTAGCATCTTTAGTTCGAGAAGCCAAAATTGTGTCTTTTGTCTTGTAAATGTTGCAACCCAGAATTCTAGAATTGACAGGTCATTCATTTTGACCTGAGGTGTTGAAAACGTAATGTCTGGAAGGTATAATAAATTTTGTTACAAATCACAACGGTCCCAAATCTTCTTTTCTTTGACGTTGATGACATGAAGCGTTTATTGATCATTTTTGGTTGATAACCAATGCTTAGACCTCGACGTTTGCCCTGAATATCCAGAGGCTGGTTGCTTGCAATGCACTTGAAATTGTTATAGCTGGACACAAGCCAGGATAATGTGCTCGGTTATTTGACGTTGAGACTGGGAAAAAATCCGCGCAGAATGAATTTAAAACGCCAACAAGGTCCGAGACTACCTCCGTTTGGCCTCACCTAGCTTTTACTACTTCCCAACAGAAACGCTCTTTAGTTGTGCATGTACGATCGTTCTTGGTAAAAAAAAAAACAAAAAAAACAAAAAAAAACAGTAGTCATAAAAAACAACATTTTTTACTTAGCAATATTTCACTTGGCCGGGAAGTTTATCCGTAGGACTCGACTATTCCCCTTAAAAAAAAAAAACTTTAATTTTCATTTCGTATACGTTGTGCATTTGGTTCAGTATTTCAACATTTAAAAAAGATTAGCCAAACCGAGTTTTTTCGCAAGTCGAATGTAGCTAATTAGTCCGGCACATGTACAGAAAGCTGTAACACTACTGGAGAGGCCATGAATAATTGAAACTTTTTCAGAATATAGTTACATAACGGCGGGAGACTGCAAGCACGTACTAGATGCGATAAGAAATACCACCAAACCTCAGTCTGCCATAACTAGGTTATAAAGGGTGTCTGTGATTCCTTATTTTTTTATCTTTTACATTTTTTTTTAAATTTTAATATCGTACTATCGCGCACGAACAAGAACTGAACATGGAAAACGTTACAAGTTTGAATAGCACTGACTATACATGTGTCAGTATGCCTTCTGATGACAGGGCCAATTCCCAATCGCTATGTGGCAAAACTAGGCACGTTTAGCTGGTGTCGTTTTAATTATCAAACCATATCGTTGATTTACTTTTCAACTGTAATACTATATATAACACATGCCTGATAAGATATAGTTCTGATTAGGTTGTTTCTTTCACACGAATCTAAGAAAGTTCTAAACTCCTGCGCGAAATGAATCCAGCATTTATCTCGGCTGCCTCAGGATAATACGCGAATTTTGGCCCAATTTGTATCAAACGGGTAAAACTGGTTCTCGGCAACAAAATACTAAGACATACATACTTTCATTCAGATCGTCACATTTTAGTCTTTTGTTGAAATAAGTCTTGGGATTATCAGAAGACAGATAAGGATCGATATTGTATTCAGGAGAAAAATATCATCGCAATGAAGACGATTGTATCATGTCGTTTCCGAGAGGATTTTGAAAAGAATCTCCTTAAGAGGAGGAGATGAAATTAACTGCGGATTTTGCGTTAAGATTCTTACATTTTTTGGATACTCTTGAGAGTTTCATTCTCTTCTTAAATTTTTTTGGTGTTGTCAGTGAGTTAAAAAAGTTTCTGGAAAAATTCGTATCTTGTGCACCTACGCATTGTAACAAAGGAAATGTTTTATCGTCGACTTCCGCGGGAAGGAGAGATTTTTGTCGCATTGCTCTGCTCGGAAGCCACAGCAATTACTAAATTTGACAGAAATTTGTCAGTTTGGATCGTGTTCGCCATTCTTGAAATTTGTTATCAAATGATTCTTGAGCAATATTTAGCACATAGCAAAGAGTGAAACTAATCGAAAACAGAGTAACGACGGAGAGACGCAATTTCTACTCTCTTTGAGTGAGCCTTTATCATCAAACGTCCTAAGCACTTCTGAAATTCAAATTGTGTAAAAAGGAAACTGCTACAGGGTGTGCAGATACTCAACTGGTTTCAGTTGTTCTGACTGAGGTATTGACGAGATTTTTGAGATATCCGGTTTCCTTAAGTAATTCGTTTCGCATCAATGCCATTACAGATTTCCTGGAGGGAGTTTTTTAGGCAATCAAATGTATTGGCCTGCGTAACTCGAATTAACACTCGTTGTAACCTACTCCAAAAACAGCCAACGCAAAATCACGGTTAAGCTACAATATACGTTAACTACCATGGGAGAGATATCATTTTAGAGAAGTGCACGAAAATATAGAATTAACAAGGTACGCAGAGTCTTTAGAGCCATTTACTGAGGGCAATATGGGGCCTCGTGTAATGAGAACATGCAGTTCGGAAAATAAAATTTCCATTTAAAAACTATAGCAATTAAATCTGCTCGAGCAGGAGTTTTAAATTTTTGATTTCATAAAAAAACGTAATGTTCAACACTGAGTAATGGAGCGTGATTGGACTTGAGAGAAGTCATTCGCAAGTTAAACACATCGAAATATTCCGGTCTGGCTCGCGTGTATGTTTGTTTTTCTTCAGAACAAATCCAAGGAAACGAAACTTTGCGGGAAACATGCATAGTTGCATGTAAAGGCAAAAAACTTCTTGTTTTCTCACCGAAGTCTATTTTATCTTTGAATTCACTTGTTCTGTTGTCACCAAAAACAAAAGATTTTCAGTGGTTATTTCATTCGAAAGTTGACGTGTCGCGTGTACTTAGCGCTTTATAATCGATTCAATTCAGCTCGAGGCAAATTACGGCACTGCGTAATTAAAAATGAAGGAAAATACTGGAGCATTGAAGTGACAAATAGCATTCAATGAAATGAAATGAGGCAAGGGGTCTAAAGCATTGGCAAACATCATGTGCTAACAATATATTCCAAACACTACTTGAAACACGCACAGTAACGACAGAAACACTTCACACAAAGGAGCACCAGTTAGCAAATAATTTGCACAAGAAATGTCTTTGTGAATAAAATTTCACATAAAACGTCTTATAGCCAAAGGGAATAAGAAAGCGCCCAAACAAAGTAATGGATTTTATTTTTTTTTACCCTTTTCCAAGTATGACGAATTTGATATCGTACCCACAACACTATATGAATGAAATAGTGTTCCAGAGAAGTTTACACTGGCTTAGGCACAAAAAGACAGAGGTTTTACATATGGCAGACGGTGTATAAGTTAAGTGAACCATTTAACCTGAAAGTAAATAGTTCCTTGCTATCGTGAGCCACTTCAAAGTGAGTCAACGCTTGTAAATGAAATCTTGACAAATGTAAACATGAGTTGTAAGACCTACTTGCACTGTTCCGCTAAAGTCTAAAGAAGCGTTTTAGTCCGAAATGAACAGACCATAAATGGTCTGGTCTTAACGTCGAAGTTGAATTGTCTTGCGAAATGACACATCATGCTCTCAATCGTTGTACGCTGTAATTATATATGATTACAAAAGTTACACGGTTGAAACAAGGATTTCTTTTGCACTTACCCACACCGCAGACAATGATGACCAAAAAGAAAAGGCTCTGTTGATTTTTTATGAAATAAATATCATCGTTAAAATATCTTTAATCATCTTTCCAAAGTAACAATGTCTGACAGGCGTGAGACTAAGGAAAAACTCACCTGAAGAAGCACATAAATCATTCTACAGCAGACCTGCATTTTTGCAACAGAAATTCTCAGTGTGTAGTCACTAGTGATATTGCTTCTGCGCGTTGATTGTTTTAACGTAAAATTAGCTACCAACTCGTTGGACACGAATCTGATGAGCTCTTTTTAGCCTGCAGTTCCGATTGACTGAGCGGACTTGCAAGTTGCAGAAGAATAAACGCTGAGAGAGCATATTTATACACTATAAATAGCCATTATAGATGAATTTCTTTGCAGCCAATGGGATGGCATCCTTTCCCTTTAAGCAGGTGTATTTGATATATTCCAATTAATTACTGCACTTTGAGATCTAATTTATCTCTCCAGTAAATATTAATCAGTCCAGAAACATGTCGAATATTTTTACGTCTGGATTCTTCACGTCGCAGGACATTACAAGACATTTTTAAAAGCCGCATGTGGTAGTTTTGAGTTAACACCGGGCGATGAGGAGTTTTAAAGTGTCATTTGGCTCATTTGTATAAGTTATGTAAAATGTATCATTGAGACACCAGCTACAGCAATAAAATTGTCCTTATCACTGACAGCGCTATATTAATAACTCAATCGAGACAGGGCGTGTGCGCGTATATTTCGCGTGTACGAATACTCTTGTGAGTGGGCACAACATACACTTCTGAGTGAATTTACAACTTTCCACAGCCGGACGTCACTTGAAAATTGTTTTATACGCTCTGCGTGAGTTAAAGCAAAAATTCTTTTATAGAGGCAGCCATACCTTTTCAACAGACCTGGTAAATGTGGTCAAACACACTGGCGCTATCCGGCGCATTTATTATCCAATTCTTTTGGGAGTCGCCGCACAAAATCGTTTGTCTCAATTGAACAACACACAAACGGTTCATCAGACAGGTAGGCCACAAATCTAAAATGAGCGAACCACATTTTCTTCATTAGAGTTCGGCTTTAAATAAAGACTTGAGAATATTCACATGGCATTCATCCAATGTATTTACATTTTCATACACCGCGATCCAGGCCAAAATAATGACTTATTCAGAAGCGGTTTATATACTATCACTCCAAAGGAGTTTCTTCTTCGCTTAAAATGTTCGGTTTTGTTACTTCGCCAAAAAATACGCTAGAGAACGGGAATTGTTTCAATGTTGCGACACTCCCAATTCGCTCTTTCTGTAAGATTTCTTTTGTCTAAGGCAGGTTGCCGCAGTAAAATAAATCGTATCATTGGATATATTTTGCTTGGCATCATGCCCACTGAGCTACACAAACTTAATGGTTCTGGTGTTTAACAATTACGTGGTTCGTCTTTATCTAAAACCTTGTCGATCAAGACCGACAGCAATTATTCTCGTTGAACAAACGTTCAACATGAAAAAGTTAATTTTTTTATCACGAAGAAAGCTCGTTTTCTTTTCTTTCCTTCTTTCGTCTTTTCTACTGAAAGTTTTTTTAACAAATATCCGTCCTCGTATAGCATTAGAATGCAACATCTCAGTTTATTTTTTCTTCTTTTTGTAAATCAAATAGTTCAATTTTGAATTTTTAGTTCTGGTTAGTTTCCTTTCGGCTTTCCATGGACATACATAACCGAATATCATTTTCAATTGATTTCGAAACCATAACTAAACTCGCCAAAAAGAAAATTCAATTTTTGTTTGCACATAAGAAAAAGCTTTCCTTGTATCAATATTCCCCGTAATTGGAATCTTGGAAGTAATAACACTTAAGGGTTTGTTATAAAACGTGACCGATGAAAATTTTCATACTGGAGAATTTACTGTAGAGATTATCCCTTTCTGCTTTTTTATGCTATTATTGTGATTCTTATGATTTTCATTATCTTTATTATCACGTATTAGTAGCAAAACTGAAATGAAAGAATCGCGAGGTCGGCTCGAAGAGGCGAAAATTAGTGGCCATTCCAGTCTTGACTAGAAAGTCACGCAACGCTCCATTCATTGCGTTACATCATAGAAGGTTGTAAAGGAGACTGCGGCCATCCTGAAGCAGCTAATTGAAAACCGTGGTCAAAAGTAATATTTACCAAATATTAAGTGAATAGAGGAAAAGAATAAACTAGATTCAGAACAAATGTAATTAGACTAGACTCTCGTATCTTTTTTTTTTTTTTTTTTTTTTTTCAATGTTGATATATTTATGTATACGCAAGTGATCGGCGAAGTGCAATATGAGCGGTGTAGTCAGTAGCAAGACGCCGTCTCGTCGGATGGCTAACGAGTTACTTTAGGCAATGAAACTTGTATTAAGTGAAAACCCACGGGAACCTTGCTCTGGCCTGTTTCATGCAGACTGTGATAATTACAACTTAATACTGGGTATTCGTTCGACACAAAGTGTCTGCTGAGTACAAAGTCTCCGCCTTCGACATGTTCCTCTAAATTTTCCGATGATTATTCCGTCACATTTTCGGTCTCTTATTGAGTCTGACTTACATGGATCTTGAACTGACCATTTATTTAAGTGAACTGACTTAAGCCTTTTTTGCTCTGTTAGGCGCTATAGCGCATTTCTATCAAGAAATTATCTACTGCAAATATAGTTCAAAACAAATTGGTTGTAAAAGGCTTGGGTCAATTTTAGCGGGCGGCATTTCCCACACACAGCTTTGCCGCTCATCGCACACAAAACCGCCAGCTACAAAAGCTACTGACTCAATTACCGCCGCACAACTTTTGATAACGTGAACTACACGCAGCTTTTTAAAATATGTAAGTTTCTTAATATACCTCTTAAGGAGTCAGCTTAATACAAGTTTTGGCCACTTAAGGGCTCAATTTAAGTGTCTGCGTCCATCCATGGGAGCTATTCGATGAATGCAAGTTCATTTTATAATAAACACAGGAAGAAAAGGTTAGGATCTTGGCTAATATCGGCCTAATACAGGGTGTTTGCCTAAATACATGGCTCACCTGAAACAGATTTGACTGTTCGAGATAACCTCGTATGCCTCTTGGTTTTACAAATTCAAGCATGCGTGAAGTGCTTGACACAGTAGCAGAGGAAGAAATAATAAAAACAAAACCTTCTAAAATTATTTTTGCAAAATTTGAGCTTTAAGACAAACCAAATAACTACATATATATTGTATAATATCACACAGTGATACAAAGCATGCTAACCACATAAACCGGCTAGCTTTCTGCAAAAAGCAAAATGGAGTTGACCCCATTAAACGACACTTCGGAATCCAGACTAATGTCGGAATCTTAGCAGGGATCACGAGTATCTCAGCCATTCCGATCGAGCATTTTTTATCCAGGCTATCTACTGTCTCCCAGTCTCCCCCCTTCGTGCACCCTTCCTATTTCGTTTGCGGTGTTTGGGCGCTGTTAAGGTTTGAGCAGCGAAGCTGGGTTAAGCTTCGGGGAATGCTTGTGGTTTTTTGTGCACTTTGAAGCATTGAATTGTCGCAGGTTCACCACTCGTTTGAGCGGCTCCGCCACCCAACGTGCGTTTTAAAGAGCTCACAAACCGCCGACCACGCAAACAGCAATCTTATTTTAAAGACGTCCTAAAATTTCCCTTGATACGAGCTTACAAATAAATGTTGACGCGCCGCCAACCGATGTTGAGCGTAAAAAGTTACACAATGAACGATCAGTTGAACACCACATACTCTACTGGGAGATATTTTCTCTATATGCAGTCGAAACAACCAGTTTAGTTCAGGTTCAATAAAATCCACTAACTATATTTAGTTTTGATCTACCTTCTTGCGGTCGCTGAAGCTTATGCTGTCTCAAGGGTTTTTCGTTATCTCGACCACTTCTTTGACGATTATCCGCCTCACAAAAAGTTCACAAACGGTCAACCTATGTATCGCACATAAGGTGACTTTTCGTCCTGACAGGAAAAGTTGTGTTAAATTTACAATGCCTCAACAAGAGCTTTGTAACCGCGCACAGGTGGGTAAAATGGCGGCAGCCTAAATGAATGTACTTGTGAATGAAACATTCTCACAATTTTCGTGAACTTGTTCGCTTTCAGACGTGTATTATGCTGTTTGGTTAAAATCAAAAGAGAATAATCCAAGATCTCCAATTTTTTTACCTGAATTGTTTTGAAATATTGAAAAACATCTTCATTGAAGATACTGTACTGAAATGTGCAGTCTGTTTAATCTGCATCTGAAGAGTAGGTAAAGCTGTAAAGCCATATATGAAAGACAAGTGACCGTAGCTTCGTTGGTATGCCAAGCTGAAATGTTTTTTCCAAAGCATTAGGTTTTGAGAAATTCAATTAAACACAGTATTTTTTTGTTTCAGTTCCGAGCATGCAGACATCGAAACATCATTGTAAAATGCGATGAAAGCTCTACAAAGTCGAATCTTGTTCAGTATGTCGACCCCTAAGATGATTTTGACAGACAAAAAGTACTTCTATACAGCAGAGGATTTCCATTGGTCCAAACTGTGGTCGGGTACCGGGAAGGAGGCTTTAGAGCTGAGCAAGGTGAAGTTTACACTCATAGTTGATTTGTTGTTACTTGTCCTAATTAGAAATTGAAATTCGATAATGTATTTTCTCAAGTATGAGTTGTGATTGTTTACTGTAGTTTGATAAAGAGCTTCAGGAATGCTGGGATGCTGCATTAGAGGCTGGTTCATTTGCTTACAAACTGCATCATGTGGAAGGCAGAATTGTACCTGGTAAATATGGAGTATTTGTCCAGGTAAACACTCTACCGGATACATGTTCTACTAATTTATGAAAAACAGCATACTGTAGGGAAAGCACCTCTTAATGTATTCACTCCCAAGATCCCAATAGTCATTCTCACTATCCATCACACAGCTTGTATAATTTGAGTGATGAGAATTGATGTTGTATCAGATAATAATCCCTCACAATATTTTCTTCCTTCTTATCGCTTGTTTGCGTAATATCATATTGTAAAGAGAAATTGCCTTGATCACTCTTAGGAGTGAAAGGCTGAAAATGTATTGTAATTTCTTTCCCTGATAATAAATTTCCATTTTCAAATTCAAAATGAAAATAAGCAGGGTAAATTCTCATTGTTGTCAAATATGATCATGTTCCAATAGTAGATGGTTGTATTGTAAAGTAACAGTTTGGATAAGTGAATACATGTCCATGTACATACTACAAAGCTTTTATTTAAGAACTAGAACATCTCTGAAGGAAGGATTTTTGGAGAGAGATTTTAACTGGTAGTAATGTAATGTTATATTTGCTCTTTTAGTTGAATGAGATGAGATTTAACAAGAGAAGAAAACCTGAAACAATAAACAGTATCTCTCAACCTTTTAATCACGACAAATTCAACTTCACAAAAGTACACAGAAAAGAGGTAAATGTGTACTTTATTGTATACCTATAAAAGCATATGTATAGGTAACATGATTTTGACTGCAATTTGAAATTAATAGACACAAGTAAACTTTCTGAAGACGACAAAATTGAATGAGCCTTAAGTGCAACTGCAATTTTTAATCTTTGAAAATTTTGCAGGTGCTTATGTACACCAAATTGCAGGAGATTTCAAATCGTTACTTAAGTTGTTAATAATTTACATGAAAAAGCATCTTAGAAAGTCAAGACCGTGAGACAAAATGTTGACAGTGGGCACTATTTGTAATTTGGACTTGTGAAACAAGTTTGTACTTGTGTTACATGATAGATGCACTCATTTTCAGCCAATCAGACATGCATAATTTTTTTTATGTTTATTATTATATAAGGTAACCGTTTGGCAACTTAGTGTTGAATCCTAAATTGTAATTTTATATACATGTAGGTATTGTTTGCACTTTGTCCAGAGGACTTTCCAAGAGAAACTACAGCAGAAGATGAACAACATCTTATGATAATAAATGTGAGTCCTATGGAGTATGGTCATTGTCTGTTGATCCCAAGTGTCTGGTCGTGTCTACCACAGGTATTGTACTATAAATTCTGCTGATCTGGAATTTTTTGTTGTGGTTTGAGAACTTTTATGTGAATGAGACTTTTGTCTCTGGTCAGATAATGTTGGTAAATAAAAGAAATACTGTAAATTAAAGAAAATAATGTGGTTGTTCACTAAATCTCTTTTTGGTAATAAAGGATGAATATCAAATACTGCAGCATATGTGGAAAGTACATGTGCATAATCTTTTGACATTGTATTGCCTATAGAAAATGTACCTGGAGGGAGTGTATACTGGATTTGATCTGTGCATTAATGAGCCTTTCAGCTGGTATTGAGTTAAGCAGTAGGGAGATTGGACAGAGTGGTAAACAATGTAACATCAGTAGCCTCCTCACACTATTTTCATTTCTTTTTATCAGCATTGCTCAGGTGTCAGCAGTTTTAATGCACCATTTGATTGCTGTCTAGCCAATCATTATTTTTCTGTATGATGATTCAAATTTTTCATAAACACAGGTGCTCACTGAGGATGCATTGCTACTTGCTCTTGAGATATCCATGCTTAGTAATCACAGGTACATGGAATTTGATTCACTTTACACACATCTTCTAGTAAAATTGTATTAGTTTTTACAATAGGGAGTTTAAGAAACAATGATGGTGACGCTCTGGACAATGTCTGTTAAAAAAATGAACTTATATTTTACTTATGAATCTCATGATACAGTCATTTAGTTTGTTTCTCACAGTCAAAACTATTTGGAAACTAAATACAGAACACAGCGTTAACTTAGAAATAGAAATTCAAATAATAGCCCTTGTTGTCAACATTCTCCTGACAACACAAAATTTGAACATTCCACGTTGTTGTTTTGCAGAGGAGGCAAAGAAATTTACGAATATTTATAATGCACATGCACAGCCAGTGCTCTGCTCTTTAAGATTTTTGTTTAGTGATGTTCCCATTGCTGTTGCCGTCATGGTTTTCTGTAACTCCCTTATACCTCATTCTTTCCTTGTGCTTTTTAACACTTTACTGTTGCTAGTAGAGAGCAAGATCAAATCCATCTCATTGAGATTAAGTTGTAAGAGAGGAATGCCTACATGTACAGTATAGGAGTGAGAAAATGTAGAAAGAAAGACAGTACTTGTGTTTCTGCTGTGTTGACCTTAATACAGGAGCACATGTAGGTTGTTTCATAGCTCACTTGTGTTGTCACTCCACTTTGTTCACTCCACTTTGTGC